CAGACATGGTACCTGGGTGTTGTTCTGCTTCGGCCTGATCGACCGCATAAACTCGAGCCTGCTGTCTGCCCCTCTGCTACTGCTGCTGAGGTGGCCTCTGGGCCTGTTGTCAGGGCTGCTGCTGCTGTTGTGGCTGCTGAGGCTGCTGTGGTGGCTGCTGGGCTTTCTTCGGACAACGGTTGGCAAAATGTCCAGGCTCGTGACAATAATAGCAAACATCCTGGCCAACATGACACTCTCTGCGATGGAGTCGTCCACAAGTGGGGCACGGTGGAACCTGCTGTGGCCTCTGTCGGGTCCTCCTGTCGGTCTGGCCATTCCCCTTCCTCTTCCGGTCCTCCGGTTGTTGGACAACAGCTGGTAGAACTGGTGGAGCTGTGGATGATTGGGCAGGGGCAAGTGGCTGCAGACGATCGTGGTTTGCCTCCCTTCGAATGCTGGCGTCCACCTCCTGGGCAATAGCAACGGTACGAGCGTAGGTCTGGACTCCGTGACCTACAATGTTGTGACGGGCTGCTGGGTAAAGCCCGTCAGTGAAACGTTGGGCCCTCTATTTCTCTGTACGCACCAGGTCGGGAACAAAGGCTCTGAGTCTGGTGAATTCTCTCTCGTACTCATCAACAGAACGAGTACCCTGCTTGAGCGACAGGAACTGACGCTCCATCTCTGCTCGGTAGTACGTGGGATAGTACTTCTCACGAACCAACTCCTTGAACCTGTCCCAGGTACAACCTTCCTTCTCGCCGGGACTCATACTCCAGTAAGCGTTCCACCAGAGTCGTGCATCACCGGTCAACTAAATCTGTGCGCATAAAACTCAATAGCGGTCTGGACAGTCCATGACCTCGAAAATCATTTCAAGGCCCTGAACCCATTCGTCTACGACACGAGGATCTCCCTGGCCGGAGAATTTCTCGGGATGATAGTCGCGGAACTGTGCGACTATAGTTGGTATCAGAGCACGTTTCTGCGTCTCTGAAAATTTTTGCGAGTCAGAAAATTTTTCGAAAACCTGAACATGTCACGCTCACGCCTCGCCGACTACAGGTATGTACTGATTCATGTTTTTAAATTATAAACAAATTACTATGTCTATGCTCAGAAATTCGCAGATATTATTTAGTTAAGATGCTCGAATCATGTTCAGGATCAGTAGTCAGTATAACTATGATTTAATGTCAGTATTTCCCAGTCATGTTTAGCAACTCGTCAAGAGATTTGTGCACTTTAATGATCAGTTAAAGTATTTTCCTTGTATTTTGATCATGTTAAATCGTTCCAATATTCAGATGCCGCCCCGTAGGGAACCCGATCATCCAACGGGGGACAAATATAAAGTTAAAGTAAATTATTTTTGTGTTGGTTCTTTTGGTTGTGTCAATTTTCATCATCAGTATGAATGTTGTTGTGAATAACTGAAGTGGAGGGTGATTGTGAAGATGCTTCAATGAATTAGAAAACTTGTTTGAAATTTTCCCCACCATTTTGGAAACTGTATGGATGAAAGTATGCTATGTGTTCCTTTTGAAAACTGAATTATCCTTTAGTGAATGTTAGGACTTGTTTTCAATTTGCAGCAAATGTAATGAATGTTTGACAATGTACTAATATTTATTTATGAATTATGTTCTTCTTTATTGCATATATAATTATTGGTATTTTTTGTTAAGAGATTAAGCAGAAAAAGTACAATGTAGACAACATAAATAAAGTAACTCAGCAAAACATAAATTGAATTATAAATATAAACTGAAATAACATTACAAAAATTATTTAATCACTTCTAAACAGCAAATATGCCCCACATTTATCATCAAATCAATTGAAACTTTTAGTCACAAACTAAGGGAGACAACAAACACTCTCAAATACACTTACAAACACAAACACAAAAAAAAAGTTGTTGAAAAGGGAAATGGTTTAGGTGTTTTGAAGGAAAAAAAAATAAAAAAGTTGAAATGTTGGTGAATATGAACAAAGAAAAAAATTCAATCTTAGGTAATAAGGATTTGAAAAGACGGTTGGGAGAAAAAAAGCTATGCCACAGATAGAAATCACAACAGGCATTTAATTAATAATGAACAGTACTGAATGTAAACAGCAGAAAAAGTAAGAAAAACGAAAAAAGACTTCAAAAGTCCTACTGAGAATTTGAAACTTGAAGCATTATGTTTTCTCAATCTCTATCTGGCTTGGAAAAAAAATTCAAAAAATTGGAATATGAAGCTGCTTGAGCATAAACAGAAATCAAGGGTTTGAATAGAACAAATTACATATGATTTATAAGAACAGAAAACAAAAAAAATCGAGGAACAACTCAAAAATCCATGGATGAGCAAGCCGAGAATGCACCTCTCTCCCAAAGAGAGCGAAAAATAAGCTACCAAGATTTTAGGGCTACCACTGGGGATTGGCAAGTCCAAGGTGGAGACCTTCAATTTTGTACTAGAAGCAGTTAAAGAAAGAATCCAAAGTTGGAAGAATAAATTCTTATCTATGGCAGGTAAGGAGTTTCTTATAAAAGCAGTATTGAGTGCCCTTCCTATATTTGTTATGAGTTGCTTTAAACTCCCTATTACTATTTGTAAGAAAATCACAGGTGTCTGTGCTGATTTTTGGTGGGCAAAGGGTAAAGAGCATGACAGGGGTATTCATTGGAAGTCTTGGAAGCTTATGGCCTTACCTAAGAAATTGGGGGGAAAGGGGTAGGCTTCCAAGATATCCAACTTTTTAATGATGCGATGATTATGAAACAACTCTGGAGATTATTGACTAAACCAGAGCTTTTGGTCAGCAGGTTACTAAAAGCCAGATATTTTCCTCAGTCTGATTTTGTGGATGCTAAAAGAGTCACTGGTGGATCTTGGGCTTGGAATAGTTGGATGGAGGTGAAGAGATATTTGACCAAAATGTGCAGGTGCAGGTGAATAGTGGAAAGAATACATTGATTCTGGGGTATCCATGGGTGCAAAACCTGGGCAACAAAAGAGTGGTATTTAAAGATCATGGACTATGTTTCTTGTTTGGGTTGAGGAACTTTTGTGAGAGGATGGGAGACAGTGCAACAATGAGATGTTGAACCAGATTTTTGACAGTGGAACTACAGAGGCCATTATGTAGATGAAGAATTTGAAACCGATGGAAAGAGACAATTGGGTATGGAAATCGGATAAGAAGGATAACTTTTCTGTCTCATCTGTTTATAATTTTTTAACTTTGGGCAAACTCTTAAAACTTGACATACCTGAAGGAAGTAATTCTTCTATCGTTTGAAAAAAAAAAGTATGAAGTAATTCAAGAAGGATAGATATGCTAACGAGAAAAAGAACCTGGCACCTCAAAATAAAGGGCAAAAATAAAATATTTTAATTGGAAGTGTTTTTGAGGAACCCTTCCAGTGCAGGTTAATTTAGTTAAAAAAGGCATAAAGGTGGATCCAATATGCGTGGTTTGTGGAGAAGCAGAGGAGACGATTGATCATTTTTTTTGGGATTGTAGCAGAGCTAAGAAAATATAGGAAATAGCTCCGGTGAGATGGGGTGGTATGATGACGAAAGAAATTAGTTTTTTATGACTGGTGGGGGCGCATATGCTCACTTTCTCACGAAGCCATCGACGAGGTTAGGATTCAGTTGTCTACATATTTATTATAGTGGCTTTGGAAGGCGCGCAATCTTTGAAGTTTTTAAAAGCAGTGGCTCCCGGAGCTTTGTTTATTGCAGCAAGCCGTCCGGGAATGGAGAGAATTCAAGGCGATGTAATCAGTTAGCTTGTGAACCAGGAAAGATGTTGTAGGTCTTGTGGCAGTGCATCATCTTGGTCCTAGTGAAAGTTTTATTTGGTATTGATATTGCGATTATGTGTATTAATCTATAGGTTACCTGCATATCCGAGCTGCCTATAGATTTTTTAGCATTTATCTAGATCGCGATCAAGCGATCTCCCATTTATTCAGGTTTTATTCGAACTTCCAGGAGATATATTTGTTTTTGAACATTGTATTTTTCTTTGGATAAATGTGAGTTCTCCTATCGTTCCAGAAAAAAAATGTAAGAAGTGTTATTTTCTTCGATAACAACTATCGCATAACCCATGCGGTAGAGAACACCACATATATGTCTACATATTTAAAAATAAAATTGAAAACACAATCATCTGTTTTCGAAAAGATACATTGTCAGCATCTTACAGGGTAGCAATATTACGGAAATCAAACTAAAACATTGGAAAATCGGTAGGGAACTCCAATGCTTTGGTCTTCCCATAAATTATGAGTTTGAACTTTGCGAGGGTAAATCATATCTACCATATTACTTCTCACTGGTAATTACGAATGACATATTATCCACTCTTCTCAAACTTATCACCCATCTTTAGAATGTTAACACAACAAACCAATTCGTTTATGCGGTCATCTTCTAAGAATCGCAATACAAAAATACATTTTTCAAAAAATAGAATAATATAATAAATATTGACAACTATTATTAAATCATATAATGAAGAATACCAACTCACTATCACTGAAAACTATTGCAAATAACTTCGGTAAAAGATATCAAACGTCATATTAAAGATGTTGTTGGATGTTTCAAGATGACCCTCGTATTTCATTTAAGATCTTTGATTAAAGCAAAAGGTTGATCCATGACTTTATTTTGAACGTGTGAATTTTTTATTTTTTTATTTTTTTATTTTATTTTTTATTAGTATTTTATTGCATTTCATTTTACCATTTTATTTTTGATTAGTATTTTATTGCATTTGATTTTACCGCAGATGTGAGCTTATTTATAGATAAATTTTGTAGCATATATTTACACTTATTTTTGTAATTTCTAAAATGTGAATATACATGAACATAAGCTAATTACTTAGTTTGATTTTTTTTGCCGAT